GTCTCTGTCAGATGGGAGACCTGTTGCTACACTACCCAGTTCACAGAATGTACGCAAAGTCCCGGGAGCCAGTGTCTTAATTGACCATAGATGGCCTCCAGAGTCACATGGGGTGGCAGCCAAATGGCTTCCTCAATGACCCAGGAAACCATAGAGGAACCATGTTTCCCCTGGCTTCCTCTCCCCTGCAATGCTGTTGCTGTTGAGCACCATTTGCAGTGGAGAAAGTAGACTGCACCTCTCTACAGGTGTACTAAGTCATGGGGTGACTCTGATGTGATGGGCGGGCCTATGACAAGAAGTGGAGACTCTGACATGAATGGGGTAAGTTGATTTGATGGGGAAACTGCTGAAGTGAAAGAGGATTCTGATGTAAAGAGGGTCCCTAAAGTAATTGAGGGACCTCTGATTTGAAGTGGGCCTTCTGATGTGAAGTTAATTTCATGAAGGTGGTTGTGTGCATCATTCCACACTAAGGTAACCAATTGATAAGTAACATTAAAATTTTTTATATACATAAAACCTGTTGTTCTTCCCCTTTAAATATATATACGAACCAACAAAAGAGCAATAAATAACCAAAATATGCTATAATTTAGTATATAATGTCTCAATAAATACTGGTGAGCAAATCAGTGAATAAAAATGCATTCATATAAAAAAATACCCCACAATTGCAAACAAATATTTAAATGCAAAAACTCCACAACAGAAACAAAGTCCATCCACAGGTGAGGAAGTGCTGATTGGAAATCATACGTGATCACACCTGTGCTCCAACGCCACACACGGCCTCCTATCAGATATGTCAGACCTATAACATAAAGGTCATAAATGCATGAGGACTATCCAGGGTAACTGTCAGATGAACCCCTTCAGGCATCAAAACTCCTCAAAACATCATAAATATACCATGAAGCGAGGAAAAGGTCAAACTTCTAGTGCAATACAGTCACAATTCACATATATTTAAAGGGGAAACACAACAGGTTTTATGTTTATGCACTCTTCTTCTGTTGCCTTGTATTCAGACAATCACTGGGTGCTGCTTCTGTATAATTTTGTAAGTTTTTTTCTTATTCAAATATTTTTATTGAAAATGCTTTGACATATACACATCAGTGAAAGGTAAAGTCAAAACAGGGCCAATCAAAACTATGTAAAGGGAGAAGTAGACTGTGTCCCAAATCATAGGGAATTGCGAGCATGCTATTCAGTTGACATTATAGCAAGTTAACAAGATACAGTAAAGCATTTGTGTGGGAAAACTGTCATACAGGTAAATATTGTTACAGATACCAATAGCTCGGGGTTTACTTGGGGCAGATAATCACCAGATTGGTCCATAGAGGAGAAAAAAAAAAGAAAGAAAAGGCGGGAGATTATTAGAGAGATGGGGGAAGGGGTATTCGCAGGCTGCAGCAGCAGGCAATAACTCACCCAGACGTATAGGCTAGCTATGACACAAGAGGTTAAGGTTCCAACAGAAAAGGGTCAAAGTCAGATGGTAATAATTTATCAGCCCAGGGTTGCCAAACCCTCCTTTATGAATGAACCCTATCCTGCAGAGTGGATTCAATCTTGGCGTGTATCATTGCTTGTGTTACTCTATGTTTCACAGCCAAGACACAAAGGGCAGGTGTTTTCCAAGACCGTGTAATTGTCTGTTTGGCTTCCTTTGTAACTTGGACTAAAAGTTTATCTCCTTCCCACTGGCTGTATGCATATATGGGGCCTCTCAGTGGGTGGGCCTTAATGCCAAGAGACCGCAAATATACATACCTAAACATAAACAGAGCTGGTACTGGAGGCTAACAGAAAGCTCCCGATCTCTACTTGAGAGCTTTCTGATCATGTGAATGCTGTGACAGCCAATCATAACAGTCACATGATCAGAAACCCCGCCCTGCCTCCCGGCATTTGAAGCCCCTTAAAGGGTCGGGAGGCACCGGTGCCAAGGGATTAAACTGAGATTTGGTCTGTGTAAACTGTATCAAATAGACAGCTAGGGATCTGGAAGATCTCTGACCAGAAAGAGTGTAGGCAGGTTATAATGCTGGTTTAGTAAGTTACCAACTGGCTCAGCCTATGGATAAAAGGGTTAAGTTATGAATGCTCAGTCCCTAGGCTTTTGGGTCCCAGCCAGCCCACCTGTGATATAAAAATGGGAAAGGCTTGAGCTGGATTTTTCCCGCTCTTGGCTTGACTCATGGGAGGGACTGCTGCACCTTGCAGTCCACAAAAGGCACAGGGGTTCTGGAGACATCCATGCTATGGAGATTATCTGCAATGACTAGCACCTCAAAGAGGTATGCCTGAGCAAATACACAACTGTAGTTAGGACTAGGGACTGGACTCTTTTATATTGAACTGTATTTTTGAAGTTTCACCAGTAAAGTTATATTAACTGTTTTGAGCCTGGTCTGAAGTTATTCAAAGGGTTGCATGTTGGTTAAAGCATATCTAAAGAAGCAAAATGGGCTATGAAGTCTCACTGCATTAAGAAGAGGTTTAACTTAGCAAGTCAAGGAAGAGGAAAGCCATTGCTAGGAGTAACCAAGCTCAAGTTCAAGACACGAAGCAACCATTCGTTAGGCGTGGTACCTGGTAGGATGGCAAGTCTTCAGTTAGCGAGGGGGTTGCAATTTGTCTCCCTTCTCAGCAGTTGGTCTTCCAAAGGAACCGAGAGCAGACCAGCGTTATGAAGATCCATGACCTAGCCACAAGGTACAGGAAGTGAAGAATATACCAGTGAGCAAGCATGAAGTCCATGCTATGTGCTCAGTGGGACCCCATTCTGTTACTGGAAGTGAGGTAACATAGGTATGCCAGACTGGTTGAGTGAGCACAGGCTCAGCATGTGCCTCCTAAAACTGCTGATGTTACAGTGTGTAATGATATGGGACAGCATGTTTTCAGAGGAACTCTGTATTTTTATTGCACACAGTGTAGGCTCATCTCTAAGTCAGGGAACTGCTTTAATGTTAGGTTTTTGACATGACCACAGTCTCTGGTCTCAGGTATTGATGAGCATGCTCTGTGCAAAAAGATACCCCCACGTGCAGAGGAAAGACCCCACACACAAATGTGTACCAGAAGGGCAGGTCCACCAAACATGCAAATATGTTCCTGAAATCCTACAGCCTTTGTAGCAAAGATTAGAATAGCCCGGGACATATTTCACTATTCTTGAAGGGACAAGATACCATCTTGCCAAGACTTTCTAGTTAGTTTCCTGACCTGCTATATTTAGTGAAGATATGTGGGTGGCCTCCCAGAGGCAGTCCATTCTTCTGATGTAAGGGTTACTGATAGGTCTGCTACCCAGCGAGCGACATATGTCAGGGGAGAGGTAGTTGGACACGACAAATCCCTATAGAATTGTGTGTTTACACCTTTAGCATGAGGATTAGAGGAGCAGAAATACTCAAATGGGAACCTCCTGGTAGGTCGTCAAAGGCTCTTAGGTTTGCCTAAAAAAAGTGTCTGACCTGCAGATAACAAAAGTGCTCAGAGCTCAATAGTAATTTTTTGGTTGTCATCACCTACCTTAAATTTATTTTGTTTTTTTTTTACACACATTTAAATTGTTCACATTTTAGACTGGGGTGCCTATGGTTTTGCATATTTTTAAAGGGTGCCGCAACTGAAAAAAGGTTGAGAAATGCTGCTTTAAGTACAGGTTTCCTTAAAATGAAAGAAACAACAGAGACAAGGCACACCAGCCTAGTGCATTATACAGAGAATAATTGTAATAAAAATGCAAGTAAAACTACTCACAATCATAAAAGATTACCCGGTCATCATGTCACTCATCCATATGCCACGGATGAGTGGCTTGATGAGAGTGTAATCTTTTATGATTGTGAGTAGTTTTTTTACTTGGATTTTTTTTTTTAAATATTCTCTGGATAATGCACTAGGCTGGTGCACCCTGTCTCTCTGTTGTTTCTTTCTAGTTGCTACGGGATATCTCCAGTCCTAGAGGGCAGTAAGGCTTGAAGTTATTCTCCATGGGATTTCTTGCAAATGAGGCTACTTTACTTGTGCACAGGAGACTTTTCTGTTTTGTTGTTGGCTTGTTTCCTTAAAGTGAATCTGTGCTTCTGCAATAGGTCGACTATGCCCCCTCCACTTTTACACAATCACCTTTCCTTTGCTCCCCCAATGCTCCTTTCACGGGCCAAGGAAAGGTATGCCTGTGTAAACTAGAGTCAGATTTGCAGCTGGAGCTTACAGTGGATTGATTCCTTTTCCATCCACATGTAACATCATTATGCCAATCACCAGGCAAGAGTAGAAAGGTTCAGTATGTGCTGCTGGGGGGGGGGGTTACACCTTAAAGTAAATCTGTTACTTTGCTCTGCATAGGCCAAGCACAGGTTTGGTTTAATTATAGTCAACGCTACCTAGAACCCAAATGTAAGATTTGAATGGTCGCTATCAGGGGCGGACTGACAAGTCATGGGGCCCCCAGGCAATAGGGGATCGTGGGGCCCGTGTCCTTGCCCAAACTCAAAAAAGCCTATGAAAAAAAAGGTACCAGGGGCATCTCATGGGGGCCCCCTACTGACCCCGGGCCCTCGGGCAAGTGCCCGAGTTTCCAAATGGTCAGTCCTCCCCTGGTTGCTATTTGGTTTTCATGTGTCTTTTAGATTTCGGTAGCAGAAATCTCTTGCAGTAATTTGTAGTCCCAGCTCTTCCCACAAGGCCATAATGAAGATGGCTTTCTATTATATCTCTCCAATTTTTGTTTTTTCATGCTCCTCTGGGAACATTACATATTCATGTAGGTTAAATCAAAAGACAAACATCAACCAAGTTCAACCTATCAAAGCTCCAAAACTTTTGGTCCAGACGTTCATAAGACTTGTTGATGACTACAACCAGTTTTGCCTTTTAAAGAGAATGTCTGAGAGATAGAAAAAGCCAACATGTGTTCCCATTAGCCAGCAAACACACTATACACAATGAGTAAGATAGCAATATTATGGACTTACCAAAGAAGAAAATTACTAGACCGATGATGAGCACTGTCAGCACCACTACAATATAAATCCAAGTACTGTTTTTTGGACGAGGACCTGTAATTAAAAAAATGTTACTATGTACTGCAAAAAAAAATAAATGCCACATTGTAAAAAAATTAACAAAACATTTTCACCACCCAACAAATGCAAGTAGTCTTAAGAAACATACCTGCTAAAATATTTGCATTTCTGTCTGTACAGTCTTGAAACTTATGGTAAGTATATATTTTTTTTTACTGATCGATCTCTTCCGAGACGATGGATTTATCTATAGTAAACAACCCATCAGATCCATAAGCCACACACAGGGAAATGGATTTTGATTGAACATTAAGATACAATTGTAAATTATGATTGTAATTTATTGATCGCAAAACTGTTTCCACCATGTACTGTCAAATGATGCAAAATAATCAATAATATTCCACCCTGGATGATCGAATCTGATCAAAATTGAGTCTAAATTGATTGGCAGGGAGGTTATGACTATTTAATTGTTTGCTGATATGATTTATTTGTTCGAAATGCACATTGATCGGATGAGAAAAAGAAATGAAGCATGTATGGCCACCGTTTTACAGCTCTGCCACACAGCACAGTCCTGTCTGGGAGGGGAGGGAACCTCAGTTTAGTCTGCTGCAGTTAGGTTTTCACTTACAGGTCTTTTCCCTATCCCACCCAGAAGAAAAAGTAACATTGATGAGCTCATCTCTCTGCCATTCTGTCCTCTCCTCCTGTCATATCCTCCTTACACTGAAGCACACTCGTTTGGCTCCATGTGCTTCTTCTCCCTCTCCCTCACTGAGCTCTGCTGTACAGACTGTAATGTAGACTGCAGGGGACTGATATCAATCAAATTCAGGTACTTACACTGCTTGCATTGATTTGTGCCTTTAATATTTGCTAAGAGTTGAGTTTTGAAAGAATTTCTATTTCTGTAGCTTCTGTTTCTTCACACAACAATTAATATCTCTTAGGTCTTAGGTACACATGGATGATTTTTCCTGGCTCAGTCATGCTAACAAAATGCCCTGCAATTATTCACCAAGGTTTTATTTACATCGGTGCATTATGGTAAAACGTGTATAACTGCAACGCACCTTAAAACACAGAAACTACGTGCCATTCATTTTATATGGCATTTCAGTACACCTAGCCAGTGCACTATGCAGACCATCTGTGTGTTGTGGTGTGCTGCATTAGGAAAATAGTATAGGCCCATTAAAGAGTGTGTTGAAGTTCCATCTTCTGCCACTCCCTGTCCCCATCATTACAGGATACAGCAATGATACAGGGGTCCGTGGAAGGAATCATAGGACACAGTGAAGGACACAGGTGTAATGATTATGCACAATAGAGACATGGAAGGTGTACGTGACAGCCATCTTGTTAAGGTCCCAGCCATTTTTGTTTTTTTCATGAGCAGTAATCTTCCTCCATCCTCCTAAAACTGGAATGTGTAGCTGTAAGTTGTAATGGACTTCAAAAGAGCCTCTTATCTTATTTAGAACACAAATATAGGCCAGCTCCAGAGTTGTAAACAGCTAATTAGTCTTGGCAGGATGTCTGTTTTCAGGAACCATGAAAAACTTTCTTCTGCCCTATTGTAAAACAATAACTCAGTAAAGCCCACAAAAATGTCCTGTCGGGCCATTAAGGCTCTAGGAATGCAGAGCGAGCCATAAAACGTCTATTCCACATGTAACAATTCCACATACAATTCATAGAATTCAACAGGAACACATTAATATTAGGTATATAATTGAATAGGGAATATCATACCAAACAACTCAATGTCATACATGACTATGTTAGCACATAGAAAAGGGGAGAAAGCGGTCTATTCCCTCCTGGGTGACAAGGTACGCAGTGTTTGGTATCCCTGGGTTCGAAATATAATTCTGAATATTAATCTGCCAGTTGCTAGAATACCACCTGCACATACGATAAATTATTATTAGTATGAAACTGTAGTTGGTACTTGGTCACAAGTTTGGTGACCTCCTAGTACCCATCCCCTAAAGCGGATGATTGGTCAGTTGTTCTCAGGTGACACCCCCTTGATATCATAGAAAGGGACTGACCGAACTTGTGAAGGGTGTGCTCACTTTTAACATCAACCAAGAAACATCTTAAGGGACGTGAGAGTCAAGGCAACATTTTTGCTTGGACAATTAGATTCCACTAAAACCAGGATTTTGCAAGTAATCTGCCTTCTTAACTCCTTTCTTTTATTTCTCTGTTGCATTCTTCTTCTCTTTATGTCTGTGTAACATATTTTCTGTTAATATTTTAATTGCACCATTTTTACCTTTTTAGTAATAAATCCTATTTTGAAAAGCGTTGAAACTGTCTCTAAAGCTTTTAATACAAACAAAAGAATCCCTGTCTCTTGAAGAGTGCTACTATATATAAATAATCCTCTGAATAGACCTGTGTGTGGTGACAGTGTGTGTTGCAGATGTTTATGCTAAAATCATAGTGTTATTGCTAGGATTTGTGAGTTTCCTACTTCTCTGTAAAAAGGTGGTGGTGGCAGTTTGAAGGGTTAATTGCTTAATTAACCTAAACCCAGTGACAATTGCTCTCAGGCTGCTGGCACATAGATTGTGACCCTGCGAACTGGAAAATATTTGTACAGGGTGCAGCTGAGAGAGGCATTGTTATGCAAGTGACAGCGTGGCGTGAGATTATCCAGTCCTTTGTCACAAGTTGGTGGGAAGGGCAGGGGTCGGGCATTGTGTTGCATCACAACAGGCATCTGGAAATATTGAATGGTGAAGAGTCTTAGGCTACTTTCAGATGGCCGAATAGCTGAGGATAGTTTACTGGGTTCAGAATCTACTGATTCTGGCTGGTGATCACCCCAGCTGCTACAATATGGCCATTTGAATGTAGCCCAAAGGAGGCTGCATTGCTAGACTAGATGAGAGGTGGGAGACATGGGCAGCCAGAAAGGTGAGTATAAAAGCATAAAAGTATTGCAGGGACCTTTTACATTTTTTTAAACTGTCTGGCCGGTTTAAGGCAATGCATGTTAAACAGCGTTAGAGTGCAAGTTAACACATTTTCATTAATGCACCATAGGAGTCTGAATGGGCCCTAGGGGCAGTAAGTAGTACTCACTGATGGAACATGTAGCAAGTAGCCAATGGTATGAGCTGCATGCAGTAGCATTTTGCAATTGCACTGATCGTACGATGCTATATAACTTTGTGAAACTGGTCATGGAAAGCCATAGAAGTTTCATCCAGTAGGCATTATAAAATGCAGTTAAGCTGCAGTTTTACACCCTTCCTGCCTAACCAATATACAGTATGCTGCAGCCGCAATGCTTTGCAGCCAATTTAATTTGGTGCTGCCTAACATTCTCACCCACTGAAGTCAATGGGTCTGTATCGCAACTGCAAGCCAAACGCTTGGCCCACGGTTGTGGCACAATGATTGTATACAGAATCCCTGTTTGGTTGGGAAAAAAAGAACACACATTCAGGAGGCACCAAAGTTGCCTCCTAAATACCTAGAAGCCACTGCTCGGCTGTCCTTTAAAAATAAATCTACCGCAAGTCACTTTTCAGAAAATGAAAGAAACTGCCTCCAGTTTGAAAAAGGCGAGTGTGTACAGCAGCCTGTCCTACAGAAGCCGGCCTAACGTCTCCTTCTGTTGAACGGTCATGCTGGAAAACCAATGGCTGCGAATGCTGATCAGTGTGTCTTGGCTGAGGAAAGTGGTCGTCCCATCAGAACACAATAGCACAGTAGGGGAGATCGCTATACTAACATTGCGTATTTTAGTACAGGGATCTGTCAGGTTTGTTTTTGTTCAGCCCAGCGGGGCTTATGACTTATAGCGTGTAACCCACATTACAGTCTATTGTGTAGGTTACAGCACAGAGAGTCATTTGTTTAATTTGTTAGCAATCAATCTCAATTTTGGGGGCATTATTGAGGAACTAATAGCACCCTTGTACCCTTGGCCTTGGCTTTACTATAGTAAAATACAAACAGAATGGGTTTAGAGTATAAACAAGATGCAGAAAAATGTCCACTTTAAAACTAATGTGCATAAATGTCTTTTGCTGTCATTTCCCTCATTGTAAGCAGATGGAACTTCCACACTGTATAATGGCTAATGGTAAGTGATCATTGTTAAAAGTTAATAGAATTTAAACGATCAAATCAACTTTTAAGACAATTTGCTTTCAATATTGTTCTAGTTCCACAATGCCAGCTTTTGTAGTATAGCAGATGCTAAAATCACGATACCAGTAATAAAATATACAACAAATCCTCAGGTTTTTAGAGATGTACAATTGTCCTATTCTACTGTTTGAGTGCTATCATAGGAGCTATATACTGAGCAGGCTGTCCTGGAGTTCCGATGGAAGAGAATTGTATACATGTTTTGTATATGCCTGGTTTTGAGTCAGTTTTATTTAGGTTTTTTTTTTATTCTATAGGAATTTATTCTAAATTGAACTTAATTTGAACTAATTGTTTGAGTATTTATAAAAATAATATATATATATTTTACAAATAGACAGCTAAGGTGACTCTATCATATAACTAAAAATTATGAAGCAAGTAAGAGGGAGGAAGAGAAGAAAGAAGGGATGGAATACCTACTTTTCCCTCTAACTGTGCCACTGCATTTGTGGAAACGGTCCTCAAAAATCCACTAGGACACTTCAGGGACTGTTGATGTCCTTGATCCCCTGCAGTTCTCACAGCTTCCTCCTGCTGACCACCATTAATTAAAGGAGACAGTAATGACATGGAGGTCAACAGGGTAAACCAGTGCAAGGTGAGGGAAAATCAACAGTACCAAAAGGGTGGGTTTCCCAGTGAACTTTAAGTGCCCATTTCTCACGTAATGGGAAAGGTATTCCTCTCTGCTTTGAGCCAAGGTCAGTGGAAAAGCCGGCACAGGGTTATGGATCAGAGAAATGCACCGTTACTTATCATGTACAGGGAGATACAACCACTGAGCTTTAATCATGACTGAACTGACCATTATGATTAAGTCTGTAATGGCTGAAACACATTGATTTCACTGTACATCATAAATAAAGATAGACTATCCTCTGATTCCATACCACTGTGCCAGCTTTGGCACTGAACTATGTGATTGTGAGGCTTCAAGAACCTTAGCCTAAGCACTGGTTTGAGTGTATATGCACGTTGTGGGGGGGGGGGGTAATAGTACTGCTCTCTTCCCAGTAAAGCAAAGGACTTCTGAACAGGAAGAAGAAAAAATGGTAGCTTCTACATGCATGTGTTCTCACAAACAAAAACATGATTCTTAATGTAGGTTGTTACGTCTCATAAAAAATCCAAAAAATTGATTCTGCGATATTATAAAGGAATACTTACGTATGCAGAAGATAGTAAGTCCAAACTCCACTATGTTCAACAATATGGCCTCCTGAAAATCTTTATATCCAACACACTTCCAGGTATGTTGGGTGTCTGGTTCAGCGCTGCACTAAATTGTTACTCCCGTCAGCCCCTATGTGACTACTGATTCCTATAGTGATGTAGGTATTGGTGGGAGAAACCACAGTGCGCAGTGGGGGCCACAGACTTTCAACAGAGTGCCAAAACTCTGAAGTCTTTGCCAGAGGTTGTATCACTTGAATGCAGAAGAGTTTAAACTTGTATTTTACCAGAGGGATAACTATACACTGTCTAAGGCATTGGCTGTTCTTTGGGGCTTTTTTGGGAAGTGGCAGAGTTGCTTTAAAATGTTGAATGTAAATGATAAGATTAATTATTGTACATTCACATATACAATGTGTATATATATATATATATATATATATATATATATATGTGACAGTAGGCAGGTGAAATCACCTGATTGCGTCCTGGATGGACGATATATTTGTCCGAGGTTCAGGCTTTATGAGGATTTGTACCACTAGAGGGAAGTGCTGAGTCCTTCAGCACTGAGGTAATGAGCCCAGCTGAAGGTAGTGGGCTCATTACCACCTGTATAAAACTTCCCAGAGTGCTTAGGGAGTTGCTCCACCCTGGAACCAGATCTGTGCCTGAACTGTCTGGGGAGCTGACCTGTTATCTGTGTGCAGAGAGACCAAAGCCTGTGTGGCCGGCCTTCAAGTACTAGCAACTAGGTATAGCAGCAGGCTGTACCTAGTGGGTAGCTAGGGAAAGCGGTTGTTGCAGTAAGTAGCCAAGTTGGCCAGGATTTATTTTGATGTTTCTTTTTGGTTTACCGTTTTTTGTAAATATTGTAAATAAATTGCACCTGTTTGTTTTCACCTCCACTGTTGTTGTGCTGTGCCTGTCTTTTTGTGTTGTGCACCCATCCAGGGGGTCCCACACACCCGCTGCCGAGCTAACCCTGTTACAATATATATATATACAGTTGTGTTCAAAATAATAGCATTGTGTTGAAAAAAGTGAATAAAGCTCAAATTCCTTCTAATAGCTTTTATTTCCATACACACAAATGCATTGGGAACACTACACATTCTATTCCAAATCAAAACATGAAGAAAAATATATCAAATTTGTGTTTTTTCTCTAAATAAATTGAAGAAAAGTGAATATTAGACTGTTCAAAAAATAGCAGTGTTTGTATTCTTCTTTACAAACTCAAACATTCACTATATAAACTGAAAAATGTTTGAAGATTTTGCTTTCCTTTGAATCACTTAATGAATATTTCGTTGTATAAGCACTGTTTCTGAGAACTGCTGTACATCTGTGTTGCATGGAGTCAACCAACTTCTGGCCCCTGTGATCAGGTATTCCAGCCCAGGATGATTGGACTACATTCCACAGTTCTTCTCTATTTCTTGGTTTTGCCTCAGAAACTGCATTTTTGATGTCACCCCACAAGTTTTCTATTGGATTAAGATCCGGGGATTGGGCTGGCCACTCCATAACGTCAATTTTGTTGGTCTGGAACCAAGATGTTGCACGTTTACTGGTGTGTTTGGGGTCGTTGTCTTGTTGGAACACCATTTCAAGGGCATTTCCTCTTCAGCATAAGGCAGCATGACCTCTTCAAGTATTCTGATGTATTCAAAACTGATCCATGATCCCTGGTATGCGATAAATATAGGCCCAACACCGTAGTATGAGAAACATCCCCATATCATGATGCTTGCGCAACCATGCTTCACTGTCTTCACAGTGTACTGTGGCTTGAATTCAGTGTTTGGGGGTCGTCTGACAAACTGTCTCCGGCCACTAGACCCAAAAAGAACAATCTTACTTTCATCAGTCCACAAAATGTTGCGCCATTTCTCTTTAGGCCAGTCAATGTGCTCTTTGGCAAATTGCAACCTCTTCAGCGCGTCTTTTTTTTTCAACAGTGGGACTTTGCGGGGGCTTCTTGCAAATAACTTGGCTTCACATAGGCGTCTTCTAATTGTAACAGTACACACAGGTAACTTTTTATACCTTCTTTCATCTTCCTGGAGCTGATTGTTGGCCGAGTCCTTGCCATTTTGGCTATTCTTCTATCCATTCGAATGGTAGTTTTTTGCTTTCTTTCAGGTTTTGGTTGCCATTTTAAAGCGTTTGCGTTCATTTTAGCTGAGCAGCCTATCATTTTTTTTATATTGTTTTCCCCTCTCCAATTAACTTTTTAATAAAAGTACAGTGTTCTTCTGAACAATGTCTGGTACGACCCATTTTTCCTCAGAATTTCAGAGAGAAATGCAGTGTAACCAGCATGTACAACATTTGCTGCCTTCCTTCCTTAAATAAGAGCAATAATTGCCACCTGTTTTTCAAAGAATGAATGACCTCACTAATAGAACTCCACACTGCTATTATTTTGAACATGCCCCTTTCAATTAGTGATTCAATTACACAGAATCAGCAGCATGCATGTCATGACTGTTGGGTCTGTTGGATTTCTATTACTCTACTACACCTGCTAGTAAATTATTTGCCATGTAGAAATATCATTTCTACCAAAAACAGGGATTGATCAGGTTAGTGATGTCTGACTGCTATTATTTTGAACACAACTGTATAATATATATATATATATACATAATACATAAATGTAAAAATTGCAATGGTTTCCCTCCATAGTTTGAATAATGCCATTTTTTTATGTAAAGATAAATATTAACTTACCACAGACAGCATCACTTTTGTTGGTTCCAGGACGAATTTGTTGTTGTGAATTAGTACAGCTAGAAAAAAAGACATAACAAGTTATATGTTCTGCACAATAGCCAGAGAATACATGTATGTGAAAAATGCTGCATGTTAGCCATATTTAGATTTGGTGCACCAATAGAGAGGAATATTCAGACGCACCTAACTGTTCTTTAAATTCTTTTAAATATTTGACTTGGCATCAGCCTATTGAAATCCCCTGTATAGCAGCATTCAGACTGTGAGAGGGAGGTGCTGTAATAGGAGCCAACCAGGTGTGCTTCATGCAAATGTGCTGAAAGAAAAAAAGCTGATAGGAGGAGGGAATAGAATGAGCAGATGGATGATCTCATCAGTTAGCTGCTGCTCCTTCACAGTCCAATAAGCAGGCTGGAGGTATACAGCAGATGCCACTGTATCCCTCCAACAGAGTATAACTAACAGAAATTTGTAAAGTGATGTCATCTGCTTGGCTGTTCTTTGTGACAGGGCTGTGTAACTCTCAGGACTGAATGAATAAAAATGAAAACCCTGTCGCAGGTTTCCACATATATACCATTTTATGTGCTTTTTTTACATGTTTGCTGGAGTTAGCTTTGCCACTTTCTATTCAAGATTTTTCTCAACCGGGGTTTCTCCAGAGTTTTCTTGGGGTTCCTTGAAAGATGAGTGTACCTGACAATGCTAAATAAGTAACTGCCAACATTGCTATTAGTGATACAAAAAAGACAAGATCTTTGAGTTAGGAGAACCCCATGGGACTTTGAAGGCAGAGAGGTATAAAGCATACAACATGTTAAAACACCAATTGTCAATCTTTATTTATAATAATAGCCACATGGCCAGTAATAGTTGATAAAACTACAGCAACAAAATGTGATACACCAACTTGATTGACCAACATATACCCATATGGATTACAGATAGACCAATGCAGATACATGTCTTTAATGGCAGTGGTGTATTCTTCCTATAACTCCCAACATGTTTTGGAGCAAAGTTCCTTCCTCAGGGGAACAAATTGGTATAGTGGTGCTATAATAATGTCACATCAATATAATATATAACCATTGTCAAAATATGTGTTAAAAAATTTATAAACAAATATATAACACGGCAGGTCAATGTATTCAAATGCCTCTATATATGAAAAAAACGTACAATCATTGCATGTGTCATTGAAGCCCGTTTAAATGCAGACAGTCCAAGAAGTAAAAACTCTGAAACCACCATCCGCCAGGGGTCATCAAATTGATGAAATCCACACCTCCAAAATCTGCAGGGCTGCTACAAGGATACCAGAAAAAGTATGGCCAATCTATGTTAAATGCAAAAAACAGCTATAGTTGTTGGCTCAATGGCAGGTATAGATAAAGTATAAAGACTAAGATCAATGGTGATTATAGATACAAAGGCATTAATGCTGCGGTACAACAAGTCTAAGATGTATAGCATAGGACTGACATCAGCAAATTAGTTTATAAACGGTGTGTCGGATAGATGTCAGAAAAGGGTATCATTATATCACTATATAAGCCACAGCAGTTGAGTAAAAAAAAGTCTTACCTAGTCCATATGGGTATAGTAATCACCATTACAGCATGCCTAGCAGGGGAATCAACAATCACCTGACTGAATGGTAGGTTTATATAGAGAAAAGGAAAAAGGACAATCCTCCAAAATGGCCAATGTGGTCCCTAAACCAGGGAATGCACGCCCATCACACAGGTGTGGTGCGGTACGGCATGCATTATGGAATCCCCAGACACGGTGGCGTGCGGCGTCGCCATGCCTTGTAGGTGCGCGTTGACCCCACATGTCACCATGAGGGCTGCTGTGCCGAAGACCGGCACGTAGTGACAGGGAGAGCATACCCTCTGAGTTCACAGCGGAGGCCCCTCCGCCATAGCAGCTGACAAAAAAGTGGTCCTCACCAGCTGAGATACAGACAGGAGGGACTTTTGCTGGGTAGCGGACCGCGGAAAGAGGGAAAAAATTTCATCATAAAACATCCATGGGTGTATGAAACTAAACACATACAAGATAAAATAAAACAAAAACATATGAGGCATGTGCATACATAAAAAGGAAGTGGGACATACCAGTTTGAAATAATACATCAAATTAAAGACTGATCTTTCAAATAACATATAAAAATGTGTAGACATTCGCAAAGATATACACAGATTTCCCTCATGGTTGGCACATGAAGAAACCAACTAGACATAGTGGGGTTTATTTACTAAAGCTGGAGAGTCCAAAATCAGACTCCCTTCTGCATAGAAACCAATCAGCTTCCAGGTTTCATTGCCAAAGCTTCATTGAACAAGCTGAGGTTAGAAGCTGATTGGTTTCTATGCAGAAGGGAGCCTGATTTTGGACTCTCCAGCTTTAGTAAATAAACCCCAGTGTGACTACAGACTACAGATACCATCAACAGATATCCTGTTGGGATTGTTACATATTCAGTTCACATCCCCCTGATCTGAAACCTTCTAAGAACGGTTTAAAATGAAAGGCCTCATTGAGGCCACGAGGTTCAGTGGTGTTGAGAGTTTACATTCCACCACAGCTCATGTTGGAGGAGGTATTAGTTAAAATCCCCCCTCTAGACCTGAAGTGGATCCTGTCCAATGCCAAAAAACCGTATGGTGGGGGTAGATGTGCCATGAACCAAAGCAGCATGACGCCTTAGTGGAAAATTGGGGTCTTTTTTGCGTACAGTGGTTAGATGTCGATACATGCATCTTTAAAACTCTAGTTTGGTCTTCCCCGCGTAAAAAAAAGAGCCACATTCACAGATGAGGAGATAAATAACCCCCGACGTTCTGCAATTGGCATAGTGTCATCTTAGACTTGTTGTACCGCAGCATTAATGCCCTTTTATCTATAATTACCATTTATCTTAGTCTTTATACTTTACCTATACCTGCCATTGGGTCAACAACTATAGCTGTTTTTTGCATTTAACATAGACTGGCCATACCTATGGGTAGTGATTTTCTGGGATCCTTGTAGAGGCCCTGCGGATTTTGGATGTGTGGATACCATCTATTTGATGACCCCTGGCGGATGGTGGTTTCAGTGTTTTTCATTCTTGGACTGTCTGCATTTAAACGGGCTTCACTAACACATGCAATGATCGTAAGTTTTTTCATATATTGAATTTGCATACATTGACCTGCCATGCTATATATTTGTTTATAAATTTGTAACACATATTTTTATCATGGTTATATATAATATTGATGTGACATTATTGTATTATAGAACCACTATACCAATTTGTTCCCCCGAGGAAGGAACTTCATTCTGAAACATGTTGGAAGTTATGGGAAGAATACACCACTGCCAATCAAGACATGTTTCTACATTGGTGTATCTGTAATCCATATGGGTATATGTTGGTCAATCAAGTTGGTGTATCACATTTTGTTGCTGTAGTGTTATCAACTTTTACTGGCCATGTGGCTATTATTATAAATAAAGATTGACAATTGGTGTTTTAACATGTTGTATGCTTTATATCTATCTGCCTTCAAAGTCCCATGAGGTTCTCCTAACTCATAGGTCTTGTCTTTTTTGTATCTTGGTGTTCCCTGAGCAATGAGAAACTTCTGGCTCCTATATAAGTTACCAATGACACCAGTGATGTTTAGTTATCTGTAATAAATCCACAAAAAAAACAAAGGCGCTATACACTTGGACTAATGAGATACCAGCCCCCACATAACTGTGCTGCTAGCAGTCCACTTTTTTTTTGTGTGTTTGCTTCTGCATGTGTTTTTTCAAATGAGGTGGGTGCTTCTTTTTTTTTTTTTTTTTTTTTTTTTTTTTTTTTTCTGCTCTTTTCTACTATGGTTTTGATCCTTGGATATGTTTGGTGGGATCTTTGATTATTTTGTTGCTTTTGTTTTCATTTACAAATTTGTATTTGTTGTTAATAAATTTTTTATTATAAATAGAAATATAATTGTTCCTACAATCCACTACCCCACTAGGATATTGTACATACTGGAGGGATGCTTGTTCTTTCCAGTAATGATCTTTAATTTATTTTAATATATTTAATACATTCTCAAAATGTTAACATTGTTTGGAGTATTTGTATTCATTGAAAGTTTTTTGGTAATATGTATTTTTATATTATATATATTTTTTCATCAGGTTTTTCTCATCAAAATTTACCTCCTGTGATGGGTCTTGAGTATGATATTTTACAATATTAAATCTATGCTATTTATATTTATCGTTTCCAGATCATAATTCACTTTTAGTTTTATTATTGCATTTTTTGGGCTACTGTATGTGTCTTTAAGTACTTGTATACAGCGCTTGGTGTGATGACTGTTGGGTCAGTGAGCCAATCAGCCAGCCCCTCCTTCTCCCCTTTCACACAGGCATTTTTGATGTAGAAAAAACAGGCAGTTGAGGTGACTAACATCTTAGCCTCCTGACAAAACCTTGAAAATGGCTGCCGGGCGCCCCATATACATTGTCACAGCCGCAAGTCTGTGTCGCAACCAAAAAAGTAGGGCCAGTGCTACAACTGCAGTGAAACTGTATCTAACTTCCGCAGTTGTAGTGCAGTGAAGAGGGATTTCAGTGTGAAATCTCTCTTCAAACAGGTGTGTAGGGAGGTGACATATTGCCTTCTGATTGCCTGCTAACTGCAAGCCAGCTGCTGCTGACAAAGGGATCCACCATGGACATGGATTGTGAGTCAGCAGTGCTGCCCATTTAAAAGGGGAGCCTAAAGGGTGCTTTCTTTCCATTGTAAGGAGAAGTCTTCCCACTGACCACCAATGTAAGGAGCACCCTTCCCATCGACCACCACTGTAAGGAGAAGTCTTTCCACTGACCACCATTGTAATGAGCATCCTTACCATTGACTACCACTGTAAGGAGAAGTTTTCCCATTGACCACCAATGTAAGGAGCATTCTTCCCACTGATGACCAATGTAAGGAGCATTCTCCTCACTGACCAACACTGTAAGAGGTAGTCTTCCTACTGACCACCTGTAAGGAGAATTCTTCCCATTCTTCACCTATGTAAGCAGCATTCTTCCCAATGATAGAGAATGTAAGGAGCATCCTGTCCACTGATCAACATGCTAAGCAGTAACTATTTTCAGTTGTTCACCAAGACCATTCCAAAAACATATATATAAAAACAACTGCACTTAACCAGCATTGCTGCACTAGAACGTGATCAGCACAGCAGACATATACCACACTAAATAAGGCTAACAGACATAAAAGCCAATCAAACTGATATATGCTTTACAGCCATGAAAACACATACATACATTCTGCCTCCATCCTAATTTGTGACGGGAATAACTTTAATCGACTGATGTTTTATTAACCAGTAGGCCTAAAGCAAGCAGCATTACTGTTTGGTGCAATTTATGCATTTTTGTTCATCTGGAATTCCTTTGAAGGAAATTAACAGATTTAATTTATGTAGCCGAAACAGGTTTTCTTCATTAAAAAAAACACACACACACACACACATTTATATCAAATAGCCTATTTACTCAACACTTTGCAATTAAAGAGCTATCTTGATTGAGTTCTTCAAAGTTATTGCTGCCTGTAGCTACAACATTTTATTAATAAATGAAATGGAAACTACTATTTATAATTTATATTTATTATACTGCCTTCCATTTAACAATGTGATATCAGAATGTCATTAGGAGTTGCTGAATATTTCTCTATCTATATATTATTAAAAATATCTGTAGTGCTACCCCCCAAAGGAGCCGCTTGGTAATTTGGGTTCTCTGTTTTGCTCCTCAGCTCCAAGAACAGCCTCAGCCCCTGGTTGAGTGAAAGATACTGCAAGCACTTTTAGGAACACAAGTGTGGATACCTTCAACTTGGCTGTGAATTAGCACCAGAAAATAGACTCAAGACCGTTTAGTGGTAAATGAACTCAATATATTGCTATTTGATAGATTATTGGTGGTTTGAGAATAAATGAACACACAGAAGTTTAGACACAGTCCGCTAGTCAATATAATCACTATGCCAAGGTAACGTAAAGTAGAGTTGCATACTACTAGACTGGGATCAATTTGTGAATCAGAAAAGTCACCAATAAACAATGCATATAAGCATTAAATGCAATTTGAACAGTAATGCTATAACTAGTCTAGAGTTCTCTCTAGTAGAATGGCTAGGATGTGGTAAAATGTCCCTGAGAGTTACCTCTTAGCATAAGCAATAGGTGACAGTCTCTGTAAAGTAGCTATAAAGTGACAGTCTTTTATCCTAACTCTTCAGCTGGCTAGCGTTGGAGCCCAGTTGTATCGCTGGCGCACATGAGAATAGTCCCAGTCAAACCTGCAGACAGAATTAAGGCTACTAGATGGCTGTATGGTCAGTTCCTAAGGGGCTTAGTTTTTTTAGCAGCAGAGAGCAAATCCCCACAGCAGCAGCTCACAATCTTATTACATGCAGCAATTAGTCCACTCTTTTGTCTGCAGCCAGGTGACTTTGGCTGTCGGCACACCTGGACTCATTTGTTTTGCAAATACGCGCACCAGATGCACTCACGATGCCCATGATCACACTGTCATTAGACAGCGCAGATCACAGGCAAAATCAAAAGAGCCAAACAGAGTTGCTCTATGCCTTGTGATTGCTATGAACCAATCAGAGCAATTACTCTTTGATCTGGCTTTGATCAAAAGCTAGCCACTCCCTTCCTCTTTCACTGTGATGATCACTTCTACTTCTACTTTGATACTTTGGTTCATCAAGAATTTAATAACCTGGTAGTAGATACATGGGAAGAAGATTCTGGAAAACTTCACATTCCACTAATATATTGTGATATTATGGGGTTTCACTCAAGTTTAGTGTTTTCTATCGCTTTCAAAACCAGCCAGGAACCAATCAAAGCAATTACATGTTGTAAACATTGGCTTTGATCAGCAGCCAGCCATTCCCTTCCTCTTTCAATGGCTGCTGATTACTTTTACTTCTACTTTGATTCTTTAGTTCATCAAGAATTCAACAACCTGGTAGCAGATACATGGGAAGATGATTCTGGAATACTTCACGTTCCACTGATATATTGTGATATTATGGGGTTTTACTCACGTTTAGTGATTTTTATTGCATTCAGAACAGCCAGGAACCAATCAAAGCAATTACATGTTGTAAACCCTGGCTTTGATCAGCAGCCAGCTATGCCCTTCCTCTTTCAATGGCTGCTGATCACTTCTACTTTGATTTGTTGGTTTATCAAGAATTCAATAACCTGGTAGCAGATACATGGGAAGATGATTCTGGAATGTTTCACGTTCCACTAATTTATTGTGATATTATGGGGTTTCACTCAAGTTTTGTGCTTTCTATTGCATTCAAAACCAGCCAGGAAACATGTTTTAGGGCTTGATGGCCCACTTTTGTTTCAGAAGAAAGTAAAAGTGCCCTTGCAGGGTTTTCCACCATCACTTCAAATGAAGTAAAATGACATCAAGTCTCCAGGCTTCATCTCGGATAGCCAGTGCTCAATCCACAAGGTTAGGCCTTTCGTCTGGTCCTTCAGTCCATCTCTCAGCACCACTGTGCTCGTGTGAAAACTCTAAACCTCTTTTGGCTCTCTTGCAGCTCCCTGCTGCATTGGCCCATGCCATGACCTCTGGTCAGGGAACCTCACATCTCCTGGGTAGAGCCCTGAACTGCAGACAGCCCCTTGATTATAAAGGCTGTGTGCACTTGCACGCATAGACTGCTGATCTCCAGTAAGACCTGGAGACAAGACTAATTCCTCCCAAGTATCGTTAAAGCCTCTGGACTCCAGAAATCAATCCATGAGTTACATAACCTGGAGAAAAACGAAAAGCAATCTTCTTATAATAGCCATTCGTGGATTCTGGGGTTACCAGAAGCCCTCACATGTACAGCAGTTATGCAACCTATAATTAACATTGATTATCAGTCTTGTTCCTATTTCATTTTTCCTTTTATAAAGTCTTTAAAATGTACTTGTTCTTGGAGGATGTAGACAGTTTTGTCTGCAGAATGCTCTCACGTGTGCACAGTCATTGCTGCATCAGTAGCTCCACTAAACTAACAATGAAAATGTGCTTCATTTTTGCCCAATTGATGCTGCCAACATTTGTACACACACAAGCAAACAAAATAGGTCTCTACGCTAATAAGTGCACTGTTCCTCCTAATGATAAAGACTTTTATTATTAAGATCAAATTAGCTTTAAGAGGCCCTTACAATACATTGTGGTAATGCATGGTTAATTACATTTTGAATGGTATCCCAACACTCTACTATAGTTGTGGGCAGCATTCCAGCCCATAGTGCACCACATTGCATGGCATGTGTGCTTTGGAATAAGCAGTACATGTTTGTCTTTGCCTGCATTATGGTGCTTTAGCAGTCCATTCATTAAGACACCATAACATAGTTCTAAGATGTGAATGGGTCCTAAATCCTTTCTGCCCAGTATCTACATATGTCTTACCTTTGCCAGTCCTTACATGGCTCTGTGTCCGATGTAACATTAGAAAAGGTTCCATCTAGACATGGTACACACTCAGTGTCTGAATATCTGTCAGCTGAAATAAGCAAAAAGACTTTGTTAAAAACAGAGAATGACTGTACGACACATGTAGGTGCCATTTAAAATGTAAATCAGATGTTGCTAACCGCTGGCCACTGCAGTAACTATTCCAAACTATACCTGAAAATCATTCATAAAATGCAGAAAATAAGAATATTCACAAGCACACCTCGGAATAGTGAGTCCTGTTCTATTATTTTAAAGCAGCAGGCATCACAAGCCAATAATTCTGGACCTTACAGGATCCATTTCTAAAGGCACCATACCAAGATGTGCTGGTGATGGTATGGTGGCACCATCCAATAATTCCGTACAGCATCCTGCATGAACTGTAGGCACTTTCCTATGCATATAATGCAGGACACACACGCACAAACAGAAAATACATAACACGGCAGAAAACAATTTGTGATAGAAGGGAAACATATTGACATGGTCATTTGATGAGGCTGTCTTAGGCTGGCCATACACTACACAATGTTCTTGAGATTTTTGCTTAACCTCCCTGGCGGTATGATTATTTCTGATTTTTGGTGCTGAAAGCAGTACCATTTTTTTGCATGGAAATATGTAGTTTTTTATTGTAGGCTGTAATTTTTAGGAATAACTCACTGAAATCTGTCCGAACAAGAGTCTAGTAAACATTCCGGATATGATAAAAACTTGAAACACGAAATCATAAATTATAATTTAATTAATAATCATAAAAAATAATAATATAATAGTAATAAATTTAATTCAATAATATAATCAAACCAAAAACACTGAAATTTGAAATACAGAGGCAAATTCGCACATCGCTGAGCAAAGTCGCAAAATCGTTTTCAGTGTCTGATGATAATTTCCCCACGAATCATTATCACTCAATTCTGCAAGTGGTTCTGATTTACTATCGCTGTTCTCTAGTTGGTCTAAAACCGCTTTTGACATAAAGGGATGCTTTTTGGACGCCATGGACTTTTCTAAGTTTCCAGGGAGAAAGAACAGTCAAAATGCAGGCAGGGCACAGGACAAAGCAGTAGGGACAAAATATATGTGAAATGCATTGAAACAGCAATGTTTTACTATATAATAATTAAAAAAAAAAAAATGACATTTTTAAAAAATTTCAAATTTCCCGCCGGTTCCGGCGCCCGTACGTACCGACGTCACAGGGACCGAAACACGGAAGCCAGATGCCGGCATCGGCCAGAGGAGATGGCCGGGGATGCTGCAGGGGACACATCGCGGGAGCGAAGGACAAGGTAAGCGCTGCAGGGACTCCCTGAGCAACGCCGCATGGTAAGCCCGAGTGTAGCTCGGGGTTACCGCTCTTGGTACTGAAATTTTACCCCGAGCTACACTCGGGAATACCGCCAGGGAGGTTAAGATTTACCAAAAAACATATAATAGGAGGTCAAACTGAAAAAACACTTTCAGTTGTATCCAAATAGGTGGGCTCTTGCACTACGCAGTTGAAGGTAAATCTAAAGGAAATTGGGCAGATATTGGACATAAAATTGTATTGTGTATGGCCAGCCTAACTCCCAGTACTTTTTTCAACTATATTTAAAATAAATGGGGGGGGGGGGGGGGTTCAGCAAGATTATCTCTAAGCACATTTTTGAAGTATATCGCTGTGCCATTCTTTCTTTCAAAGAAGCAGTATTATGGAAATACCATTGCTTTATATCTGGGCCCTATAGGCTAAATAGTCATTTTCACTATCCTTGACTACTAAGTATTATTTCTGCATATTCTCATGTTGCAATAAAAAAACCTTCACAGATGGAACCTATTATTGTGACCTTGGATGTGTCTCCTAATACAAGGACATCATATTTAAAAATAGCAAACTAAATTACCGTAAACTTAAGATATTTTCCTGTCTTATATTGGCTATGCCATAGATCCTAATATCAGCAACCTGGGTGCCTCGCTACTGACAGCAGCCTTAATTCAGACAGCGAATTGCTTCTGTAATTTTATTAAACAGAACAATTATTTTGATTGATATTCCATTAATTAGCACATTGCAAGTGTAATAACTAAAGCATGTATTTCAGTTTGACATATTTAATCAAACACCTTTGCTGTACTATGTTATTAGGAACACAATATTATTACTAGGTAGGGTCTTCCTTTGCTCTCAGTTCTTCGTGGTATGGATTCCATGTTCCACAAATATTCTTTGCACACACCTTAAGATCAAAGGAATTTTACTGTCAGCATACATCACACATATATTTTGATGAATTCTCAAGTGCAAAAAAAAATAAATATTATTAATATTAAGCTTAATTGTATTCTGTTGGCCTTGGTAGACTGTACCCACCGGCAATTTCATTTCCTAATGTGTATTGGTTATCTTTGCCACCGTCCTCTAGGTGTTACGAGGGACATTTAAAGAGCTCCATTCTCCTGTGAAAAAATTCCTGTCCCGGCACCAGCATCTTAACTATGGGCACAGCACAGTCTGCGGCTTCACAGGCAGGTGCACTGCTCATTGTGAATGGTCCCGCAGTCCTCTGGGACCTGTCACGTGTCCAAGATGACTGCGGGGGGGGGGGGGGGGGGGGGCACGGGCTGGAGAACTTCTGCTTTTCATCAGAGCAGAAGTGGGAGCAGGTACCTGTCAAAACCGGTACCCAAATCCCACTCCCCAAAGGCTCCATTTCACAAACAGCGGTAGGGGAGGAGGCCTTTAAGTGGAACTTCCTCTTTTGGATGGAGTTCTGCTTTGGTGAAGACTTTGGCATGTGCGATATTTGATGCACCTGGCTGTCCTTTCCATTTTTATGATATCAATGTTATGTTATGCTGATGTCCTATGAAATTTGTATGAATAAAGATTTATTTAAAATAAATAAAAAGCTAAATTGTATAAGACTTAGTATAAAATTAGTTATTGCAGAAGCTTGAACTAACCCAGTGTTTCTCAACACCAGTCCTCATGGACCTCCAACAGGTCATGTTTTCAGGATTTCCATTATTTTGCACAGGTGATTTGATCAGTTTCACTGCCTTAGTAATTACCACAGCTGTTTCATCTGAGGGAAATCCTGAAAACATGACCTGTTGGGGGTCCATGAGGACTGGAGTTGAGAAACACTGAACTAACCTAATGCTCATTTGTTATCTCCTGGCATATGAATGTACATTATTCTCTTGTTACATTACTGGAGTGCAACAAATTATAGATTCACATCAAACTCTATATTCTCTTTATTTAACTAGAAAAAAAATCATTGCAACAGAAAAAAAATTTGTGTGAATAGCATATCCAAGGTCCGTGGATAGCCATCATTGTTCTGTATATCTGTTGTTGCATATATGGTGTTACTGAGTTCATATAGGGCTTCCCCCAGCTCACACATTTCACGGAATACCCTGCTTCATCAGGAAAAATGATTCCTTGTCACAACAACATCCATTCCACTCCAGTGGGGGAGAACTTATTGTAAAACCCTTTTTTTAACTTAAAGGATAAGTTCACCTTTTAGTAAAAAATAATAAATGCACATTTTTTTTTGTTGGTAAAAAAATGTGCATTTATTATTTTTGTCTGTAGGAACCTGTAAAGCATTGCACCAGTGATCAGCAGATCACTGATGCCATGCAGGTCTCCTGCAGATCTGTCAGTATATCTGCTTGTCCGTATGGGATGTACAAGCAAGAGGATATACTGATAGGAAGAATGAATGAACTACCATGGCGCTCCACAGTGGGGATTGTGAATGAATGATGTGGCGGACGGGTGGAGTGTTTTCTTTTTTTTTTTTTTTTGAGAGCTAGCGAGGGGGGGGTCTGATCATGAATATGGGTGTAACGTGTAACATGTTATGAAAGGTGAACTTATCTTTTAAACAACAATAATAAGGTCTGTATTATATATTCTAAATAGATGCTGTATACATTTATTATGTTGCTACACTACTGTGTATTTATATATATATATATATATATATATATATATTGTTAAGCTCTAATGAGCAGGGCCCTCTGTTTCCTCTTGTACCAAATTGTATTGTAACTGTAATGTCTACCTTCATTTTGTAAAGCGCTGCGCAAACTTTTGACGCTATATAAATCATATATATATATATATATATATTATTTTTTTTATTTTTTTTTTTTTTAATTGTATCTACTCTGTTAGATATTGTAATATCACAGTGGCTACATGGTTAGCACTTCTGCCTGGCAGTACTAGGGTCGTTGGTTCTAATCCAAACCACGACACCACCTGCCTGGAGTTTGCATGTTCTCCCTGTACCTGCGTGGGTTTCCTCTGGGTATTCCAGTTTCATCCCACACTCCATATACTTGCTGGTTGGTTAATTGGATCCTGTCTAAATTGGCCCTAGTATGTGTATTATGAATGTAGGTTAGGGACCTTAGATTGTACACCCTGAGGGTTAGGGACTGATGTGAATGTACAATATACTGTATATGTAAAGTGCTGCATAAATTGATGGTGCTATATATGTACCTGTAATAAATAAATATCCATGACATCTTGTATTCCCATGGTGGCCCTTTATAAATGGATATTGTGGTGAGTAGGCAAGGTTTGTCCTAATGAAACTGAATACACCATGAAACACATAGACTGGGGGATGCCATATATGAACCGAGTAACCCCATACATGCAACAACAGATATACAGAACAATGGCTATCAAGTGACTTTGGATAATCAATTCAAGCAAGTTTGTCTTTATTTAATTTATGCTATGCCGTAAAAATAAATTTTTAACACGTCAGAAAATGTCAGGTTGTGATGTGATATATGCTGACACTAACAATTCTTTTGATCTAAAGGTGTGCAAAGCATCTTATTGTCTGAGAGGTCAGCGTTATCATGATACTGCATATATTGGCTTCCACCAATTCTGTTTGAGTATCAGGACTGGGAAAGAGAGCCCATTGGAAGCTCAACGTTGTCCTAGTCAAATCTTACATAGGGCACAGAACTTTTCCTGCTGGGCCAATCACCAAGTACTAGGAATAGGTCACATGCAGACGGAGCTTTTCACTCCTCTTCACATTTATTTCTCTGCTCCTGGCTGCTCTGTAAAGAAAAGCTGTAAAGAAAAGCTGTAAAGAATATATTTCAAACTAAGATTTAAAACAAAGAACTGAAACCCTCTTGCCTTCCTTTCCCTTCCTTACTTGCTCTCCTCAAAGGAAGCCCTGCAAAGTTTCAACCAGAGAGAGAGAGAGAGAGAGAGAGAGAGAGCCTGAAAGCAAAACAACTTCTGCTGCTCTTTTTCTTTAGAAAACCCTAAAATATTTTGTGCATGATATTTAAAAAAAATTTTTTTTTTGTTAAAAGATTGTATATAAATAAAAAAAAAAAAAAACATTATCCTTTTCTTTTAAAATGAGAGCCACACAACAAGCCTTTTGAGAAGAAGACGGCAGCAATTGCAGTTTGCATCTTTTTCAAAGTTTCTTTTGAAACTTATCGTGTGGCCAGGAAATTTCTGCCACAATAATCAGCACTCTCTCACCTTTCTGTGTGACTCCGTGTCCTGGGCTGCAGCGCTTATTCGACATACAGGTCTCGCATTGTTGGCTGGAGCAGTGCTTGCCATCTTGACAAACACAGTCTACATTTTTCTCCCTGGTGCCCTCGCTTATCTTCCGAAATCCTAGATCTAGTGTAAGAGAAAAGTATCAATTAAAATATATCAGGTAACAAATCACACTCAGCTACAAAACCTGCCATGTTTTGTTTATATATGGAAAACAGAGCCTTTGCACAAAATAAATGTAAGAAGTCAAAAAGAAAATGGGTCCAAGCATAATGTTAAGGATAAATAATGATATAGGTTATATACGGGGTCAAGGATCTCAAAGTGGTAATAAAATAGCTACAACTGCATTTAAAAGGGAAATCATCTTTTTTTTTAATAAAGCATGGCACAAAACAGTTACACAAAAAAAAATTACAATTTTTATTATGTTTACACGAAAACCTGTGTTCATGTTTACATATATACATTGCGCCAAAAATTCAGATTCAAAATGTGCATTGGCGTTATTCACATACTTTTTAGTGAATATAGCCTGTGATATTTGAATTTGATATGTAGCTGTTAAATACCTGGTGATCCTGGCAGTTCTATTTGGTTCCTGTTTCAAATGATTGGCACACATGTAAGCAGATCTGTTTTGGAATGGACAGTTTGTGTCCTTGGACCACTGCTAGGAGTTACAGGACACTGTGCCAACACACGGCGTGCCTGTATCTCCTGTAGTGAGTTTGCTGCTGGCATGCTCCCTCCCTGCCTGATTGGCAGCAGTTCTTACCATGACTGATAGAAGGGTAGAGTCATCTTGCTCTCATCTGCACACAAAGCTGATGACACTCAGGGGGGCATCAGAATTTTCTTGCATGTGGAGTGCACCCCAGCACTGTGTACAAACGAAAGCAAGCAGACAACTTTCTTTAAGAAGCAGTGGTAATGGGAAGGGTCTGCCACCACTCAAGCTGGGAGATGTCTCAGCAGCTTCTTGCATGTGGAGCTCTGGGCAGCTTTTTCTCATTACCATCGCTGTCTATAGGAGGGAGCAAGTTGTCGAGCAGACAATGAAATGGAGCTGAAAGTTAGAGGGGTTCTATACCACTTGACATTGAATCATTTGAAAAGGGGAACATATTGGGAGGGCTGTGAAGATTGGGGAAGCCCTTTAAAGCTTGAGTGGCAGCAGCTCTTGGATGGAAGCTGACAAGCATTATTTCATGTCTCCGACCCCCTTGGAACTGTGAGGAGCAAGCCCTCACCACAAATGAAAAATATAAATATGTTTAGTTAATGTACACTATATTGGCAAAAGTATTGGGACACCCCTCCAAATAATTGGATTCTGGTGTCCCAATCACCTCCATGGCCACAAGTGTATAAAATCAAGCACCTAGGCATGCATACTGTTTCTACAAACATTTGTGAAAGAATGGGTTGCTCTCAGGAGCTCGGTGAATTCAAGCGTGGTACCATGATAGGTTGCCACCTGTACAATAAGTTCATCCGTGAAATTTCTTTGCTACTACATATTCCACGGTCAACTCTTAGTCGTATTAAAACAAAGTGGAAGTAACTGGGAACAACAGCAACTCAGCCATGAAGTGGTAGGCCACGTAAAATGAGAGAGCGGGGTCAGCGCATGCACAGTGCACAGTGTGCAGAAGTCGCCAACTGTCCACAGAGTCAATAGCTAAAGACCTCCAAACTTTGTGTGGCTTTCAGATTAGCACAGCAACAGTGCATAGACAGCTTCATGGAATGGGTTTCCATAGCCGAGCAGCTGCATCCAATCCTTACTTCACCAAGTGTAATGCAAGGCGTCGGATGCAGTGGCGTAAAGCATGCTGCCACTGGACTCTACAGCAGTGGAGACATATTCTCTGGAGTGACAAATCACATTTCTCTGTCTGGCAATGTAATGAACGTGTCTGGGTTCGGCGATTTCCAGGAGACGGTACTTGCCTGACTGCATTGTGCCAAGTGTAAAGTTTGGTAGAGGGGGATTATGGTGTGGGGTTGTTTTTCAAGGGTTGGGCTTGGTCCCTTAGTTCCAGTAAAGGGAATTCTTAAGGCGTCAGCATACAAGACATTTTGGACAATTTCATGCTCCCAATTTTGTGGGGGCAGTTTTGGGATGGCCTTTTCCTGTTCCAATATGACTGCACACCAGTGCACAAAGCATGGTCCATAAAGACACTTGACTGGCCTGCACAGAGTCCTGACCTCAACCCGAGAGAACACCTTTGGGATGAATTAGAGCGGAGACTGTGAACCAAGCCTTCTCGTCCGACATCGGTGCCTGACCTCACAAATGCTCTTCTGAAAGAATGATCAAACATTCTCATAGCCACACTCCTAAACCTTGTGGGCAGCCTTCCCAGAAAAGTTGAAGCTGTTATAGCTGAAAAGGGTGGGCCAACTCAATATTGAACCCTACGGACTAAGACTGGGATGCCATCAAAGTTCATGTGCTTGTAAAGGCATGCGTCCCAATACTTTTGGCAAATATAGTCTATGTTTTTGAATTATGTATGTCTTTTTTTACCCATAATTTGCTTAGCATATTCTGACAGACTTACATGGCAAGCGATCCCCTACAGTGCTGCACTGTTAGTGCTCCCATTGGTCATGGGTGCTGCCATCTTCCCCCAGTCTTCCTTCCAGGTTCTGAATCTTCAGCTGCCTAGTTGGCTGGGCCACAATTATGTCACTCCCGTGCAGGCACACAGCAGTCACATCATCACCGCATTGAGCCATGCTATAAAAATGTGTGTGCATGTGCGGCTCAGTGTTCACAAAACACTGAGAGGCATTGAGAAGGGTTTACAACAGAAAGACCAATAGGACCTCTTCATTCATAAAAATCCTATAAGCAATTTTAAGATTTAATTCTGCTTTAAGACTTCATTCTCTCTTGCATTCCTGGTGCTGCTTAGAACTTGGTAAAGGCAAGATTGATGTGCAGGACAAAGCATATTAGTTAAACTCTGATCTGCTTTGCATGTGTTGCACTATACCAGACATATAAAGGCAAGTTTGATAAGTTTGGTATGGAGGAACTCAAGTGGCTTGCACAGAGCCCTGACCTCAACCCTAATGCACACATTTGGGATGAACTGGAATGCCGACTGTGGACTAGATCTTCTCCAACGAGTCCACTTGATCTCACAAATATTCTTTTGGCTAAATAGGCACAAATACCTATAGACGCACTCCAATATCTTGTAGAAAACCTCCCCAAAAAGAGGAGGCTGTTATAGAAGCAGAGAAGGAGGAGGCAACTCCATAATAATGTTGCTGGTTTTGGAACAGGATGTCCAAGAAAGTATGATAGACAAGTGTCCCAAACTTTAGACTATAAAATGTATATACATTTTTATGCAGTATTCATTTTGGCAAAGAAAAAAAACAAGCTGCTGCAGTTTTTGGAACAACTTTAATGCACCAGCAGCAGCCTCAGCGTGCAGGACACATTCTGTCAACAGTCAAAAGAATTCATAAAGCATGAAAGCACCACACATACACTGCTGCTCATGGATAATACGTTTTATTGTAAATCTCTGTAAAACATGACTGCCCAGAGGATCTGAGCTGTCATGTTTTACCGAGGCTTACAATAAAACGTATTATATGAGCAGCAATGTGTAGTGCTTTCATAGATTGTACACATTCTGAATTATAACGTTTGACTGCAAGCAACATTTGATGTGGCTTTCACTTTTTTGCATGCTTTCTGTTTCATATTTCATACACTATTTTGTACATTTCTTTTCTTTCACTGAGGTGTATTTCACTGTAATCTATCAGCCTCCCTGTTCAACAAAACCTCACATAGCCACACAGAGTGTCTGTTGCTTTCAGTTTGCCATATCTGGCTGCAACAACTGTTTTGCAAAACTATGAAGCAACAAGCAAAATCTGCACATGTAACACATATAATAAAAAAAACACATTGATGCCATTATTGACATATTCTATGCAAAAAAAAAAATTAAATAAAAAACAGCTCTAGCTGCAATTTTAGCCTTCAACTCAAAGCTGTCCCCTGCTTTACTTTGTTTCCCCCACTAGAAGCCCTCAGTTTCTTGACTAGCATCATTCAAGCTACTTCCTCTAAACCTAGACTGTCATGGACCCGCCTCCAGGCCTTGACTGGACAGTGAAAGGAGAAGAGGCAAAGTAATGAGCTCACCTCTTTTAATCTGCTTACACCTCTTATCAGCATTCTCCTTGTCATCATATCAACTAACTGACTCCTTGTGCTGCTTCTTTCTCTTACATTTGAGGCTCGCTGTGCAAGCACTGCAAAATGCTGAGAGCAAATCACGTTCAGCTACTAATTGCATTGTAGGTTTATATGCATTGTACTGATAATAACCAATAAGTCTGAAAGTATTGCAAGCAGTTTGGAATAAATGGCTCTATATTGGGCGGCACGTGGGTAGGGCAACTGTGTGGTGGTAACCTAAAGGGACTAGGCGAGACAGTGTTTTCTAGAAGCTTTCTTTTTTATGCAATGAATAGTAAATAGTACCTCAATGTGGTTGTTTTCCTAAATTATGGATAGTAAAGCACTCAAATTTCTATGTAGCAGGGCAGGCCAATTTATATTCAGCAGTATACTTGAGGGTGGCTCCTTTAACTAGGTACCTTTAAGGCACAGGTGTCAAACTGCATCCCTCCAGATGTTAGGAACTATAAGTCCCATCATGCCTCTGCCTTGGGAGTCATGCTTATAACTGTCAGCCTTGCAATGCCTCATTGGATTCATAGCTATGCAACAGCTGGAGGGCCGCAGTTAGAAACCCCTGCTCAAGTCTTACATAGTAGCCTTCCTGATGCGATGTTGTGCTGGTGGAGGAGGACGCAAGGATGAGCTATAACAAATATAGGCTGGACAGGAGGGTCCTTCCCCAAAGCAGAAGAGGTAAGCATCTACCCGGGAAGTGTGTGGATCTGCGGATCGCCACCTCATTTGCTGTGCTGAGCAGTATCATTGCTCAGTGAGGCAGAAGGGGCTGTACTACAACACCCTCCTACATAAATGTATCTGTGCTCTTAACCATTGAGGTCTTGATCCACAGCTGGGCCAAAGGTCTAAATGAATGATTTGCAGGGATCTGTCTACT